GAATTCCAGAAATACAGCGGGTGGATCAGAATGCGTTTCACTAATAAGCTTTGACGGGACAAAGATGCCACTGCCGCAATATATTTCAGGTGATTTCTGGCAGATTCAAACTTTCAATCTGGAGCTACTGGAGCTAAGGAGTGGCGTCAGCTCATTGACGGAATTCTCGAAAAGTAAGTGTACTCCATGCGTTCTTGCAGCGTTCTTACCTTCGGGGAAATATTTAGCCATTATAACAAGGAAAACGGTTTCGCCCAGGATAAACGGGGCAAAACTCAATGGCACCCCAACTCTCTTTTCTAACGGTAAATACAGTAATATCAATAGAGCTTGAACCGTCCAGGTGCAAGTTGAAAGTGTGGTTGTCATGAATGACCGATAGCGCAGAGAGCTCGTCTCTGACGGTATTATCCACATCATAATTCCAACCATTCCGCTGCTGATCTGATGTACATTCAGTACGACTGAAGCAACTATAATCAGACTTTTTTCGCTCATACAGACCGAAACCTGTACACAAACGGAAAATGCAAGAAGGCATAGTAGGCAGATAGACAATCCTATGATTAGCACAGATTTCCTTTCCAGCTTTTCAATTACGGAGTAAAGCATTAAAGGAGAAGAAAAGCACAAAACTCTAATGGCCGTCGAAATTGACCGTGCAACATTGTCTTCCAGTTCACTGTCGGTCATCACCACGCTACAATATGCCATTATTGGACCTGAACCGGTCATTTGGGAGGCCACTGAAAGGGAGAGAAGTAAAAGCAGCGGAAATCGTATATCTTGCCATAAAAACTGATGAGCAGCTGTGCGTTCTAAGGAAACGGCTGAGATTTCTCGGGAAATCTTTTCGATTTCACGAATGGGATTCGACGGTCTGGTGTAAATGATCATCGACTTCATCGCAGCATCCATTTGACCATGGAATATTAAGTAACGAGGAGTTTCGTGGCTGATCGACAGGACGATCATTTGAAATACACAGCCAATCACCAGTAAAGCCAGGGCACACGGCCACAAGGCTTCGTTTCCAAGTACAGACGGAAAGCTGCAAGTGAATGACAAGATCCAATGCCAATGAAACCCTGTTGAACCACAGCGAACAGAAATCGTTGGTCACAAGGCGCTATTTCATACAGGAATATGCTGGACACGCCCAAGCCGCATGAGACAGCAGTGCCACTTACTATCCGGCCAGCAACCAGGAGACCATATTGGTAGACGTGAATGCCAAAAGCAGACATAATGAGTCCCAGTGACGTAGTTGCTGCGGCGATTATAAGAGTCACCTTCCTATCGAAGGTGTCTGCCATGACTGCGGTAAATAGAGCTCCGACAATAGCTCCATAATGAAAGCTGCTGACAGCAGCACTGAGCCTCAATCGCAAATCGTTCTCGTCAGGTAGCAGAGAATATTGCTGCTGATGCGAGTTGTTCAACCAGTGCAGTGAAACGTTCACCAAATTGTTGAAGATCGATGAGCTATAAAGCTGCAAGTTGGTCCCGATTCCGACGGCCAGGAGAACGCTTAATAGCCGAAAGTTTAACTTTGACATTTCTGTACATAAACTCATTTTCGATAGGTTGTAACGATGCTGAATAAAGTTCTGAATGCCGAAATGCTCGGCGGTTCACTGTTTGCATAATGGCTAACAGCGACTGTCACCCGTATACGTCACGGAATATGCCAAGTCATATTACAGTAGGGTCTCAACTTTTCACGCAAGCGACGCCTCAGGTTCTTCCGCTTGTCAGAAAATAAACAGAGTTTCTCAGCAAAGCTGCACTGATTAGAAACAGCTAACTTTCGCCATCCCTCCTGCCCCAACATCTGCTATTTATGCAGTACCCAGTTTCGCAAATTAGTTTCACGCCATGAAACTGCATTCTGATAGTGCGAAATATGAATTTGAGACCTAAAATTTACTTTCGATTCGTACTTGCTTGCTTTTACAGTATTTTCTGCAATACGAGATAAATTCATTCATTTTTGCTTAAGTGTCGTCTATGGAACACGACAAGTAGTGATTTCATACACGAACAGAAGACAATGCTTAAAAATGTCAATCAGTTACAACTGTAAAGCGGAGATAATGCGATGGTGATTTTGCTAGATGTAGTCGGAATCGCCACAGTTTTTTTTCGAGAACTCCGGTTCTTCTTTGCTGCTTTCGATTAATGACAACCAACTTCCTACATGACTCAGGATGACATTTGCACGAAACGTAGCTTGACTGAGTGCTTGGATTGTCTGATGGTGCAAAAGGACAACTGAGTCAGCCTGGAGGGCTTGCCGAGATTAACAGTCGTTTTAATCCAGAATATCCGGACTTATGCATCATGCAACCATATGTTTAATTTTTCATCTTATCTTAGCAATATGGCATGTTTCAGAATGGTAAAAGGTTAAAATAATCTTATTAATGATGAAACATAGTATTCCGTTCATTAATACTCCCACTTGCGCACAACCCTTCTTATATAATATGTTCCTTGATTATCACTACCGTAGAAAACCAATCTGGTTGATTAAGTCATTAATTGTAATGCAAGCAGATTTGCGGCACAGAAACTGAACTGTTGATGCGTTCGATGTTTAAATAATCATTCCTAGCCAAAATACTAAACTTTATTGATAACATGACTGCCATTACTTTCTGTTTAAACTGTACCGACGATTATTGGTGATGCTTAAGCGCTCAGTGCTACCCAAATTCTCCAGAATCACGAGTCAACGGAAGCTTATCCCTGAATCACGCGGAATTCGCACGGCCCTACAAAACAATTTTTTGCAGAAAACGTCGAAAAAACAGCAGAATGCACGAGCCTAAAGAGCACGAGCTGCCTCCTTGAACAACGAAAGAAGGGATCGATTGAAACCCGTTGATCCTCTATCTTTGAACAGTAACGTTGTGGATACAGTGAGGTTTTTCCTGCATCAAGGTTCATTTTAATATCGATAGGCAGCTGAGGAATTGAAAAGTCGTTGGTAGCCCTGATAGCCGCACAGCATGACGGTAACGTAGGTACCTTTTATAGCTCATCATCGGGAGAGGTGCCCGCTATTCTATATATGCAGTTACGACGATGGGGTACACTAATTTTTTAAATAATTTACAGGATCTTTAACGGTACTGATTGGACGACGCCTTGAACGGTGATCGTTTTTCTCTATTTCTAAGTATCATCCACGATGTCGTCTAAAATCCTCCTGTTGGCCGTACTCATATCCGGTTCTCCACTACATTCTTGCCTATTTCTATTCACTGTTCAGAAGAGAGCACCGTTAGGAAAGCCAAAGCATCTTCTTCGTGGTGACTGACTCCTGTCAACCGGATCACTTCCTCTGATTGATGACGAGCGCGAAAGACGTGCAACTTCGAAAAGAAGTATTTGGCTTACATTTTAGACTGTTGGTTTAAAATTGTCTAATTCTATGTCACCGAATTTCTTCTCGAACTGACCTATCGTATTCCACAATTACGCAACGAAACCACTTTAATTGATGTAATAATGTTGGCCGTATTTCGGTCCCTTATTCAATTCAGCACAGAAAGGTGGCTAATGCGTTTCAAAAGGTTCCTATACGCACTGATATTCTTTTAAACCAAATTCTTGACATAACGAACAGTGGAGTATCGATCAGGAAATGGAATTTCACCCGAAACAATGTCATAGAATAAGCGCAGGCGATTGGTAATTGACTGGAGTTGTGAAATCTGGGTCGCATCAGCCAAAGTACTGTTTCTCGAAATCGGTAACGAATGGAAAGGTTGGCGAATTCTGGTTTACAAATATGGCAGTTATAAATCATTGTCTGGTACCTTCCTATGCGACGAAGTTGTCCGCTGTTTACAAGTGGGTTCGAACTCCTGTCGTCGAGCAGCTAAGCAAGATTCAGTCTTGTTCCGCTGCTGAAACTACGTTTCCGATTGTATTAAGTAAGTTTGACTGACCAATATCTTGGATGAGATTTTCAGGCTACTAGCGTGTTTCCCGGTTAGAAAGGCGCGTAGCTTTCTTATTATGTCACGTGATTCATTTAACCATTTCCTTAAAGGGTATCTGACTCGTCTATCTACATGCAATCGTCATGTAGCACAGTTTCAACTCATTTTCAGCAAAGTTTCTCAAACAAAAATCCTCATCTGATGCGAATTACCCCTTAGCCTGAATAAGAAGATAAAATTTTGGCTGAACATGTTTATGATCAATTTTCCATTTCTACAGAGTATTGACAGAATATTCTTTTTTCAGTTTGAAACTCAGCGATACCGTGGCCTATTGCATATCCCAGTCAAGCTCTGCCTACTTTGCTGAAGCTCGAAGATTATGTAAAACTGATATATTTGATATAGTCTGTGCAAATAAAACACTGGAATCGATTTCCATACTTTCTTTGCAACCAGCATTTTAGTGTCGAAAAGTAAATCGGCTGCTCGGCATTGTCATGTTTACCTGAGACGAGTGTAACTCATTCGGTAGAGACCCACACCTATGGTCAGAAAATCGCGAGTCAAAATTATGTTGAAGTGACATGCATTTCAGCCTTCTTAGATGGGTAAATGAGTCCGTGAGAGGCCCTAATAGGTTACAAAGATATTGCTCATCACAATATTTATTACTTTAGTTCGTAGCAACTCTTCAGACTGGATTGCGAACGGATGGCCCCCTTAAATTGTTTCAAATTTAATTTTGTGGTATGTACTGCATGTCGATTAGGTTAAAACGTTATGTTGATTTTTAGTAATCAATCACATTGGTCAAGGCAAATTGCACCCGCAAGGCATGCATACCAGACGTCATAGCCCTATGTTCACTCGCTGCATGAACACACAAAGTTCCAAGGCACCATGCTGCCCTGTTGCTCGAATCTCCGAAACTCAGCAAATTGCTTCCCATTTTTTTGGCTGGTTGGAGTCACTCATTTACGATGACCTGTTGTCCTTTAAGTTAGCGAAGGCAGACGCATCAGGTAATATCTTCGGTGTTCTCGATCTACTGCCAGCGTTTGAGTTTCAGCCGTAAATAAACCGAAATGGAGCAGATTCTGTCGAAGCGCTTGGATCAGCTCATTTTTTGCTGTCCGAAAGGATTTCGTCTGGTCGGTCGAGCAAATAGTAGCTGTTTCACCTACTTTTCCGAAATCATTTGCAAAACATGCAAAAACCATAGCAGCTACGACTGCTCAATCTGGATAAACAGCACTTGTACACCAAGGCCCTCCCGGATAACTGAACTCTGCACAATGTGGAGACGCGTGAGGCCAGCGACTCGTATAAAAAAGCCAATTTCAGCAGCTTGTACCCGGGTTGAAGTTTCTCAGTGATGGTCCACGATTCATGACCGTAGGTGTGCATGAGGACGAAGATCGACCTGAACACCAATAGCTTAGTCTACACTCTCAGTTCTGCCTTACAACAACTCGGGCCACTTCACACTGAATGCCGCTAGTTATTCCAATTCGCTGATCAATCTCTTTCTCACTCTATGTCACCAGCAAACACGACCCCGATGTACTTGAACTTCTCCCCCAGCTGCACTGCTTTTGATCTCGGCTGATTACCATTCTAGCGAGCACCGAAGATCAGTTTCAGAAAACGCCAACAAAATTGGGTCATCTACAAACAGCAGCCTTCTCATCTACACGTCTCTCACGCTGATTTTTAATCCATGTGCAATGCAAGCAGGAGAGGGAGCAGAAAGTAACTTTGGCGGAGACTATCTCTGGCATTGAACAGTTGCTACATAATGCTATTTATTCTAACGCCGCACCTGCTAGCAACATATTGTGACTGTATCGCTCATAGCAACTAGTCTTCGAACCCATATTTACACAGACACGCCGACAGCTTGTTGCGTTGGATCCGGTCACACACTTTCTGAAGGTCAGTAAATCACATGTAAACCGGATGAGCTGATTTTCGTGATTTCGTATAATTTTACGTGAGGCGAGAATCTGGTCACAGGTGGTTCGGCCTGAACTAATGCCATACTGATGTTCTTAAATCTTATTTCTCGACACCTCCTTTCGAAAACCTTCCCGTGCACATACAGCGCGAGACTCACTATGGTAATGACCCGATAATCAAAGCAGTCCATGTAGCCTTGATTGATGGAGACAGCCAATACAACTCCACTTCCCCAGTTCACTGATGTTTTACTCATAACCACTGTAGTTTGACATACACTTGTTAGCCAAAACAAGCCTTTCGCGCCTACATCTGTAAGCACTTTAAGGCGGATTTCATCGATTCCAGTTGCCGTGCTACCATTCAATCCTTCACAGCCTCCGTGACTTCATTTTCTGAAAGATTAGTATCCGTTTCTTGTCACTCTTCAGACAAGTTTCATTGGGAGTACTCTGCGTTAAGGAGTTCTCCAAAGTACTCTCCCTATCGCTGAAGCATGTCCTCTTCCATCGTAAAAAGGTATCCAGACTTGTGCGACATGACTTTCAGACTGCTCATTTTATTATCTTTGGGGAGATGAATGCTCTGCCAGAAAACTTTTTTGCCGTCCAAAAATTCGACTTCATCACCGCAACGAACTTTTCTCAGAAATCGGTTTTTGC